GGCAGCGCTTCCGCATGGCTCACGCAGGAATGAATGAATGGCTGGGCGCTGCCTCTTGATTTATACTTCAGAAATTCGTTGGTCTGCCCTTTGTCATCGGCCCTTGGTGCTCACAGTACCCCTGTGGTACTTGCTGGACTGGACTGGGACTCTCTAGACCCTTCTGCTCACTGTAGGCAGTCGTACCGTCGACTCAGTGCAGTTGCACTGAGGTCCTACCTGTTGACCTTGCCACTTGTCTTCGTCTAAAAACGTGGGCCTACCTTAGACTCACCACTTGACCACTTGCCGACCTTCTAGAAGGACTAAAGCTAGGCCTCTGGACTCTACTTGGACTCCTACCTTACAGGTCTACAGTTCGAATCTCCCTACAGCCTACAACCTACGGCGACCTACTTACCACTGRCTATCGTGCAGGTCACGGGTTCAACTCCAGGGAACTGTGCAGATACTGTACACAGGTAAGCTGAGGTCAAGGGATCGACCCCTGGGATCTGCATCGGCTATTGCCAAAGGTGAAAACTGTTTCACATCACCCCCCTCAAGAAAGCGGGTCACACTCCTCCTCCAACTCCACAGCGAAGAAGCGAAGAAGCGAAGAAGTGAAGAAGCGAAGAAGACTTGGAAGAGAGCAAACGTCGGCGCGCATAGCCAACACTCACAGCGATTTCTTCAAAACGGAGTTTTTTTTTTTTATAACGAAATTGAAACGTCGTTTTCTGGGCAAAAAAATCATGAACTTATCTGGAAACTTTTTTTATTTTTTACAAAACACAAGCTCCATCTATTGGTGGGGAGCAACACCTGCTGGAAACCGGGTCCAGCGTCCCATAGATACAACCATATCCTCACAAATTGGCACAAACTGGGAACCGGGCCCAGCGTCCCATAACGAGCACATTCAGAAAAGTGATCAGAAAATCCCATGAAAATGAGACTAGAAACCTACTAAGAATTTTGGAGCTACTTCAGACCTTTTTTTGCAAAGAACTTCAGGGTTACACAATATTCAGAAAACGACTCAAGAATCCACCATCAGTCCTCTTTACCTCACTCCGGCAAGACTTACTGCAGCAAAGCCACCATCTCCACTGCTGCTATGCCCTATTTCCTGCAGCAAAGCCACCATCTTTCTCTCTCTCACCTCAATCCCTTTCTTGCCTGTTTCTGAGAAGGTATGGGAATAGACTGCAGAAGTCCTACAAAAGCCCCAATTCCCGCACAATCCCTAACAAAACCTTCCAAGGTTCTCCAACTCTGTCTTACTCCCTGCCGAGCTCTACCAGGCCTCACACCCCCCATCCTACTGGGTTACAGGGCAACACAACTCACCCCAGCTCCGGCCAGCGTCGTCCAAGAAGCAACCCTTGGTTGTCCCGTGGAATGCCCCCCCAAAGCACCCCCAGATCTCTCTACCAGGCCTCATGCTCCTGCAGCAGCAGGTTACAGGGCAACACCCCAGCACCGGCCAGCGTCGTTCTGACATCGAACAGCCTCAGGTCACTGAGTAGGTCACTGAGTATTACAGCCTCGAAACCACCTAAACAAAGTTGCCAGGAATCCCCAGGATCCAGAAGACATTTTTAGGACAAAACAGACTACTCCCCTTTTTTAAGAACAGATTGTAACTTTTGGATAATTCTGAGAAATTCTAAGAATTTAGCAACTGCCAATGACCATATTCCGCGAATATTCAGGAAGCAAAAGAAAGGGGATACGAACTAGAAGCACTAAACAACCATCTTCTCCCCTCACCACAGACGAAGAACCACCGCCCAAGCTTTCAACCCTCGTGCCCGAAATCATCAGATCTCCGACCCCTCTCGTTAAGGTTACAGGGCAACACTACCTACCCCAGTACCGACCTGACTGTTTCTGACCGGCAGGAAGTGCCTTCCTCCCTCGACAACTTCCTTAACTGTCAAGCCCCTCAGGTTACAGGGTCACCGACCCAGCTACAACTACGTTGAACGGAATGGTTATGCCTTCTACCCTCGACATAACTTCAATGGCCTCAAGCTCCCCCTGGTCACAAAGCTATGCTCTAGCACCGGCCAGTGTCGTCCCACCCCGCCCTTCTCATAGGTCTACTACCCTAAACGATAAGTCCTCCCTCTGTCTGATCCCACCACAACCCACCCCAACCCTTCAAACCCGATTCTAGCCACCCCCTTCCCCTTACCCTATACACTAAGGGCAAACGGTCAGGACAGACTAGGACCTGCTAAGCGAAAGGAGGGAAGGTGGAGGCCATCAGTCCTTGTACAAAAACGCGGCAGACCTCAAACCCCTTCATGCTAGGGTGACAGGGCGCCACCGCTACCCCAGAACCGGTCCACCTTGTTCTCACGGAAAGAAGTGTCTTCCACCCTCGACTACTCCTCAAAAGTCATCAAGCCTCACAGTTACAGGGGAACACCCCTGGCAATGACTTCGTCGAACCCACTGGTTATGCCGCACTGACAGGCATAACTCCCCAGGCCTCAAGCTCCTACGGTAACCCAGGTTACAGAGCCTCAACTCCAGCACCGGCCTGAGTCATCCCAGCAGCAGCATCCTGACCTACCAGCCAAAACCAACCATCCAACCACATAGCAGATCCCTAAACCACCCTAAATCAATGCACCATCCTGAAAAGACAAAACAGAATCGAAGTTTACCACGATAGAAATCAATTAGGTTTCCAGACGCAGGTTTGTCAAGTAGAAAATAGTCAGAAACGAAGATTTGAAAAATTAGAAACTCTAAAAGACAAAACAGAATCGAACTTTACCACGATAGAAATCAATTAGGTTTGCAGACGCAGGTTTGTCAAGTAGAAAATAGTCAGAAACGAAGGTTTGGAAAATTAGGAAAATTAGGAGGAACTCTTGTTTAGAACATTTCTTAGAAGTTTTAAGATTTTAAGATTTTTTTTTTAAGACGAGATTTATGAAATTTATCTAAGCTGTCCAAAATTGGACTTGTGAATATCTAAAATCAAGAGAATAATCCTGATCATAGTTAAGATCGTTGTTAAGAACAACAAAATTATCTCAAGAATTATGAACTTAACAGAAACAGAGTCTGATTTACGATTTTCAATTTAACAAGTGAACTCATAGGATGAAAAGTATTTTGAAAATAGGATCAGAGGAGACGATCAGAAAACAATTGGAGTACAATTGTCGAAGCAAACAATCAGAATAACTCTCGGAGTACAATCAGACAATTCACAATCCGAGTGTCGCCAAATTGCGGAAATTATCTCAGACTGTAGATTTCGAATTATCAGGAAACCAGGCAACGCGTGGGCAGAATTCTAATCCACTAATACCAGTTCCCGTCCCTTCTTCCTCAACTCAACCACTTACCCCACCTCTCAAACCCTACCCCTGCATCTTTGGGGAAAGGACTACCTTCCTCCCACTGCTAGCATCTGAGCTCGAAGCAAAGCTAACACCAAAGATATAAACGGCCATCTTCACTCCCTCAAGGAAAATGAAAACGGTGTGACACCCCTCGCCAAACCTGTCAACGAGTTGCCACAAGGGGTTCAAGCTACCCTAGCTCTAGCTTTTCCTTACTGTTGAGGAAGGGGGACGGGTATACGAACACAAGACAAGAACAGCAGGCCCCACCTACCTGGCTGCCCTTCCCCCACCACCGAAAGGGTCTGGGAAATCAGAGAGGGGCGAAGTGGAAATGAGGGTTCTATGTTTATTCAGTCTTTGAAGCTTAGGCGATAGTCTCTCATCTCTTCCAGACATGAAATTGTCATGTATGCGCCGAGTCTACCACTACTCCTAGTTGTAGCCATATGGGGAACCCTGTAGCAGCCAGAACCATGTTCAGGACATAACATTTGGGGGCCACATTTAGCATGCGCCCTAGTTTTTTCCCTTAAAAAAAGAAAAAGGAAAAATAACCAGATCAGAGGCAAGAATCCCCATCCCCTGCCTATACAGCGGCCTAGCTCGGTTGGTTAGGCACGCAAGTGGCCTTCAGGAGGTTCGCACTTCGTGCTACCGGCGGTGATAGTCCGCTTGATACCTCTGATCGGTATTAGCAGGGTCCTTGGCCAACACGGGGGTGAGTGTGCGTGTGAGTGTGAGTGTGAGAGTTGGCCTTAGACACTGATGTTATTCGGTTGGGAGTGGGGGGATCGATGAAAAGGGAGGCGCAGCAGCTACTGACAAAATGCCAGGTCTTTGCGTTAGCCCTCCGACCCCCACCGGTCGCCCCACCCCATCTTGACCACCACGGTTGGGTAAGGGGGCAACATGCATCCCCTCTGATGGCTGGAGGGAGACAACAGAGCTATGTTCACAGTGGTCCCCTGTATAAGCCTTAGGAGTAGCGGCCGGTAGGTAGTGAAGGTGAATTTGAAAGAATTTGAAAGATGATGAAAGACTTGAGAGAAGAATATAGCGTAGTCAACGGGGAAAAAAAAATAAAAAATAAAAAAAAAATCCCTGCCTCATTGAAGGCCTGTCCCCACACGGAAAGAAAAAGATAAACAGAAGAAATTTAAATTTAAAAAAAAACGTAAGGGCCTATCTTTCTGATCATTCCCCGATCTCTGTTGCTTAGGCTCCTGCCCCCCATGGTCCCACATCTCTAGTTTTTTTTTTTTTTTTTTTTTCAAATATAAAAAACTATACTCTTCTCTCAATTTTTCCTCACACTACCTACCTACCACTAGGGGCCGTAAAAACATGGCTCTGGTATGCTTCGGGTTTCCCCGTGCTCTTATACATCTCTACTTTCTGTTTCACATGCCTTTTTTCATTTTTTTTTTTTTTCTTTTCTTTTCTTTGTTGCTTTTCTAATAATCCAGTCAGCAGCGTGGTGGCTTTCGTGGTATTAGAGCCCCGTCCGACACCACTTGAAAATACTTAAGTTTCTAGTGCACACTAAACTAGAATTTGAGATTATATTAAAAATACACTAAGGGCCTCGTTAGACACTCCTTATGAATTCCTTGAGCCACAAGGAATTTTCCTTGTGGCTCGTAAGGGAATTTGGGCTCTTCGTTCCACCTGTCCTTGGGGACGTCGCCCGAGGACATTTCCTAAGACTGA